GCGAACTGCGGCCAAAAACAGCAGTTAACAAACAAAAACAAGCACACATAATGTTCATTATCGTAAAAGATGATCGGTTACGGAAGTCAAGGGTGGCGTATTGCGAAAAGGGATAGTCTTGCCGCGCATGCGTGTCGAAATGTCGTCAATGTGTCAAAAGTTGATTGTGCAGCTAGAACACCTTGTACATCTCTTTGGCAAGGACATCTGTAACAGTACTCAAGCAGTTACCTGCTTTTGAGGAGACCACGGTGGGGGTCACTTGATTTAGCCACTAGTGTTTCTTGCTTCTACGATGGCCGATATAACAGTGAAATGCACCACAAGACGGTGCAAAAAACCTATTAGAGGCGTGAATCTTGGCTCACACTCTGGCGGGCGGCTTTTCTCATCAACTCAAACCTTGAACTTTTGACTCCACTTTGGAAACTTTATCTCTTTCCTTTTACTCTTATGAACATATTTCTGTTTGCAATGGCTTCAGAATGATTGAATCTCTACTTATAATTGGAGCTTATAATTGGTGAAACTAAAGCGATAAAGAGCTCGGTGCCGATAGTTCCATCCGGAATGTGCCATGCACTCAGAATCGCGGTATTGTTGAAAAGCAAGTTCACCTACACAATTCTCTGAAAGCAACGCCTCCATGAAGTATTAAAGGCTTAAGTCCAAAATAAGGACGTATCAGTCAATCGTTCTTGGAGGTACGATAATTTGCTTGTCCATGCAGGAAACGATCTAAAAGTCGATTTTTAGGCAATGTGAATAGTAGCGACTAGAAACTTCCACCTCTACCCAATCATCGAAAAATATTTCAGGAACCATTATTCGTCCATTTAGAACTAATATTTCTAATGACATCGGCTGTGGAAGCAAAAATTTGAACCTTCCCCAACCTGCTTGAGAGGCGTCCCAGTTCGTATTAATCAGATGTTTTGACCCTTCTCACACTTCCTGTCGTGCCATCGTACACACGTACGGCTCCAAATTTCATTCCGGAGCTATCAATAACAAGGTCACGCCTGCTCACTTGAACTCTGTCAATTTCTTGTGTTTTCCATCGCGTCGCTTTTAGGTGAGACATTTTGCGTACTTCTGAAAGAGTGCAGCACAATTCCAACATCGTGGTAATTGTCGTGGATATCATATCCTGAAAGCGCGAAAATGCTTCTCAGAATGAGATATCGGCCACGCTTCGCTATCTGCCGTGGAAAGACTGGGCCGTGATTGAAGCGTCTATCCATCGCCGTATAATCGTATTCCTAGTGAAGCGGCAAGGACGCCGTAGGTTTTGATGAGGATCTCTGCTTCACGTACTTCACGTTCACTATGCGGCCGCGTCACAATGACATGTGCCATCCTTTCCATTGCTCTCTCTAAGCTGGATCACCAAAAAAGCTTCGAAGTTTCCAATGATACAAAAGTCTCCTGCTTTCATATGCTCTCTTCACTGGAATAAAATAACGAGATTGATCGAGTTACAGTACTCAATTCTTGAGGAAATGTTTACTTGCGTTTTTGCTTTTTGGCCATTATTCAATTTTGCTGTTTTCTTTCCTGTATAGCAGCGATCGTTTTGCCCGATAATCTTACCGATAGGCTCAGTTTCCCGGAATCTCTGCGGTAGTTCTTCTAAAATTTGTAAAACTCTTTTTCTCAACAGTGATCCGTTGATGGACCCATGGGTACTAAATGGCAAGCTTAGCTCACACTGGTCATTATCAGAGAGCTATAGCTTCCAGTGAACGTACTCAGGCCATTAGTCATTGCACAGCTTCCCCATCCCGAATTGGAATTCACAGGAGGTCAATGCGCTCTTCAGATGATTGAGGTGATTTTGATGCCGATTCTTGAAGGATGGTGTTTGGCGATGCGATAGTATCTCGATCCAACTCACAGGTGCTCCGTCTCTTCTCATATTTCTTCGATTTTCCGCTATTTTTCGGATAGAGACCTAGGTAAATCGATAGCGACAAGAACTGAAGTCGCAAATAGAAAAACAATGCTACTTCAAGCTTTTGGGGATCTTGTGAGTTAAGTTGGCAAAAATCGTCGCAAAAATTGTTTTTCGCGGCTATTTTGCTAATTTTTACCGCTCCGTGGCAGAGTAGATGTTATATCTGTAAGCAGGTCACTTATCCCTATTAGGAAAAGTTGCGAAAAAAATAAAAATACTGTGTCAAAAGGTTGTCTCGCCTTCTTCACTGAGGCTGGGTTTTCTTCCAACTTTGACCGCCCACAACCTGCTAGGAAAATTGAAGTAGCAGTTTTGATCCTCATAATTGTGAACAGCATTCTTGACTGCATGTACTTATTTATTTATTTACAGTGGCGCTCAAAAGTCTTCGGTGGAACTGTGAGCAGCAAGTCAGACTTCTTGAATGGCCAAGCCAATCCCCCGATCTAAATCCCATAGAGCACATGTGGGAAGAGCTCAAAAGACGTTGTTCCGGCAAATATAGCAAAAACAAAGAAGAAAAGTTCGCTGAACTAGTGAAAGAGTGGTACGCCATGCCAATGTCTACCATCCAAAAAATTATCGGTTCGATGCCTTCGCGCTGCGCCGCTGTCATCAGTAGTCGAGGTTTTCCTACAAAATATTGATGCTTGTAGTATATTGCATTTTGTTATCTCGAATAAAATGGTTTTTCCTAAGCCTATGCTATCCGTGTTCCGCACTGATCATTGAGTTTGATCTAGCGCATTGCGGCCAAATAGCCGCAATTATTCACAATATGTCATTGATCAACATACTGCAGTTTCGGTGGATTTCATGCAGTAGGAAAAAAGTTACGCTTGAAAGAGCATTCCACCGAAGACTTTTGAGCGCCACTGTACATGTACTTATTTGTTCGACCCCACATAATAAAGTAACAGTAAAATTTTCTCTCAATCATGTCAGGAAATCAAACATTATTGTATTTGTAAAAAGTATACTTCATAATTACGATTTGTTCT